TCTAAATGAGACTGAAATTAAGTTGTATAAGAATGTTTTATTTTGGGAAACAGGGATGGTGTTTCTTGGTCCTGTAGGTCAGTATATCTTGTTCTGGCGTATCTCACCAATGCTTGATCAGATTGGGATGTGGGAAATCTGGAGGCCTTGGGCTCTTGGTAGTGCTCTTAGAGGCGTTGCTGGACAGGTTTTGCAGTTCGCAGGACACATTGTCCAGCCGTAGATGTGCTTGGTCTGCAACTATGTTCAGGTGGATGGTATGTGTATTATCCACATGAGTACCAGGACCAAAGGTTTCCCAGCAGAATGCTGGAATTGTAACTAGATGATCAATATTATTGACTTTACTTGTTGGTGGTTTTAATGTTGGCTGATCGATGATGATGTGTGGTCGGGTAATAGTAATTATCGACATGTCCACAATAACAATCCTTCTTTTTCCTTTTTTTAATCTTGATAATGGGAAAGTAGCACTGAGGCATGTCTTACCCAGGTTTATAGAGACTTAACAAGTTTGGGGTTTGATTGATTTCTTTAGGCAAACAGTGGTGTGAGATGGTTTACAAACTGGTGTGACAACTTTTTAGTGAGATAAATTAACTGCAAAAACGGTAATAAATCAAAATGTTTGCTTAAACTTCGAAACTTCTTTTTCACGTACCACTATCAACCACTGATAGCTCATTAATTTTAACATTTAAAGTCACCGTCAATTCAATTTGTTCATTAAACCTGGCATCTGATTGACTTACTTCATATACACGAGAAAGAAAAAGTGATTAATCGATGTTATACAACACACATGATGTGCTTTAATAATCTGTAAAGAAACAAAAATGCACAAGAACAGTCATATTTTGTTGTTTTGAAGCCTTTAAATTAGTCTCCAGTTATTTGTGCAATTACACAGACACCTTTTTTTTCTCCATTCATACCACATTTACCTGTATTATAAAAAACGCCTCTTGGACTATGAAAGACAATACAATCCTAAAATCAAAAGGACAACAAAAGGCTTTATGGCAGCAAATGAACCTCACAACGTTTTAAAAAGAGTAAGTGGCTATAGAGTTATACTGCATGAACAGGAAATATTGCACATAGAGAAAAAGGCTCTTGGGATGACATCATTATTAATTAAGTGAAAAGAAGGAGCAGAAGTTTTGTGAGATTAGTTTAGCGAGGTGGATGGATACAAATATTTGTCTAAAGCAGTCTACTGAACAGTTAACACCCCTCCCTCACCCAGAGCGATCAAATGTTTCTTCATTTTCTGCAAGCACTCTCCAGGAAAGTAAGAAAAAAAAAATCATATGTACAAGGACAATAATTCTGGAAACAAAACGACAACCTCTAATTGACATCATTAAATGCAGACCTGGCATAAAAAAGTAAAGTGGCACATCAAGTGAAAGAAATACATTTCTTGATACATTTGGCCAACTTTCCATTTACTCCTACAATGTCAATCGATCATAAATTAATTGTTAATAAAAAATGAAGTCTACTTGAGAAAAACGTGCTACGAGACATGAGCGTATTTCAACATAATCGTAGATTTATGTGCAATGAGACACTGCTTTCCTGCCATAGAAATTACACAGTTCAAACCACAAGTAACATTGTATTCAAGTTTTTATATACAGTAGCCGACAACTTAAATAGACGAAGAAACAGCAATTTTCCTGATGTCTTACTCAGACAATAAGGTCAATCTGTTGAGTGTTTTCACTAATTTTATAGTTCTTGGCATTTTGGGAATGGACAGTGCAAGTCTACAGAGATACGATACATTTCATTCTGGAGACTGGTTTTGACCGTCAGACAAAATACATATATTGTCAAGGCTTTTGGACTCTCCAGCAGAAGTCTTCATGAATCCAAAATTTTGGACGCAACTAGAAATTACTCGATAAACCAACTGAATTACTTTTTAAAAAAAATAATGGGTCTTCTTGTCTTAAATTGAGAATTTGCAACTAAATTGCCTTGACTTGGAATTTGATAATCATAACATGGGATTTAAATGTCTGAAAGCAGGACTTAAATGTCTGGACATGGGACATAACTACTTTATTGACTAGAATGAGGACTTTACAGTCAAGACGTGACTTTGTCTGGCAGCAGCATGGTGCTCCACCAACTAGTTTGTAGTTGTAGTTGCAAAGTTTAGTGACACATTTAATGTTTCCTGCACTTGGGAAGAAATTGTCTGAAAAATGCATTTTCTTGTGATTATGACACACCATGGCAAACTCATTTGAGATCACTAATTGTATGTGTCCACACAATCTTTTAATTATCATCATTACCATATGTAAGCTGCCATGCAATTCATTCAGGTAGCACTGAGATGGGGCTTCTTGTTGGCCACTCCTTATCTGTATAAAGTTAATGTCTGGACTACTTTGTGCACAACGGGGGCATTCAGTGCAGCTTGCCGCCTCTGGGAACTCTTGAAAGACTGACTCAGCAGCTGCATGGTTTATCTCTCGCCTCAAACATTTTCTGAAAAACATTTTGGCAAACTGTTTTCATAATGTAAGAGAAACTATGTCAGTGTAGTTTGAAATCTGGGAGGAGATAGCTCAAAGGTAGTAGCATTGGTCCAATACAGTGCAGCCAAAGTTTGCAGGAGCATCTTACTTGTATTGGTTCCCTGTTAGAGAGCATTCTTCACTTACTCCTTATGAAGCTACATAGTTGGACGCCCATCAAGCCTCTATTGCTCGGAAGCGGTGTTGCCTTCTGCCTGCAAAATCATCCCTCTGGACATGTACCACAAGATAGACCGACTGTTTTACGTGGCATTAAACTGCATCCTCGGTTATCGGATCACAAGTGGACAGCACATAATTCAGTGTAAATGACCACACTCTGATCCGATCACTCAAACCAGTCTTCTGGGATGCATTTAACCACATATCTTTATAATACGTACTAAAACATCCTAGATAAGGATGTAACGGTGACATAAAGCAAATATATCATGAATGCAGTTTGTTGTCTTGCACTTTTTGGCAAATCACAAATTATGTTGTCCTGTCAATCTCAACAGCTGTAACATCAGTACGACTATATTAGTTCTTGAAACATTTTTTAAACAAATCTGGCACTTGATAGCTGTCTGTGTGTAACTGACCTTCTAGTGAAGGTTGTATAGGTAATAATCTGAACACAAGTGGTCAGCTGGACACTTTGGAGGCGCTTGATCGGCAAAGGTGTGAGTGGCAGTTTGTCTCAGCAGTCTTATTGTGTTTGAATCACTGAAATGCATTTTAGAACCAAGTGCAAAGCAGGTGATTGACACTGATCCAAGACCTGCAGCCATAAAACAAGTTCCTTCCAACTTGATTTCATTTAGACTTTATATCCTTTGGACCTTGTCCAGCTCAGTCCCTGGACTGGAGCCTCATTGCTATGAACCAAGAGAGCCAGTGAAGACTTCTACTCTGCAGTTCATCAGATTAAACAGCTGGAAACAAAAGCACTGTATATTTACATATATTATGAGCCCATAAACCTTAAATGATACTAATTCAGGTAATGCGCGTAGTTTAACAAATTTCCAATAAGAATAAGAAGAACAATGTACCTAATGATTGTTTAAAGTTTGAGACTTCTTCAATTGAATTTAGTCTTTTTGAGGTATATGTACTGTATCATCTATCACTGTACACACTTTTACTGCTGGTTGTGCTGGTAAATTATAATTAATTATATTGCACAAGAAGCTAAGACAACGAGACATGTGACAAAAGCATGATTGTTCAATTAAGAGCATATGGGATCCATACAATAAGGCATTGCTTTAATGAAAACATCTGGACAAACATTTCACAGTTTAATTAATGCTTGATTGACTAGCGATTATGACGTCCTCTTTAGCACTGATTGTTTCAGTCATCACATCGACACGAAACTATAACTTGACCTAGAAGCTCCCCAACACTGAGTACCTGATATGTAGAGATGGAAGCAGCTGGCCAGTCACAAACTGAGCAGGACGGGCAGGGGAAGGGTCATCTTTGTGGATGACAAAGCAAGGGAATGCATGAATGAAAAATAAGCAAATTCAAATGACCATCAGGCTCCACTTTCACCTGTGGATTTATATCTGCAGACTGAAGCTGCTGATCGACACTGGTAAAAGGTTGTTTCGTACACAATCATTCTATGCTACAAGCACAGTTAGAAAAGAAAAAAATACTCCCAATATACATATTAGATCCACATATTTTGCAGACATCTGTGGAAATAATACTAATTTGGGAATGTTGCCTTATCTAAAATCAAAATTATTAAATAGGAATCCATGATAGATTCCAGGTGGGAGGGAAAATAAACAAAATAAAAATGCCAGAGGGCCAGTTTTTCTTGTTTAATGCTGCTAATATAGCCTATTTACAATCATCTATTGTATGCAACAGAAATAGCTTCTCTTTTCACTAATAAGCTGATATGTTCTGGCCGATCACGAAAGAAGAAGAAAAAACTTATTCCAAAAAAAAAGGGAATTCATAAATTGTGCTTTTTAACCCACAAATCCACTTCATCTTTGAAATGGGACAATTTCAAGAGGCACCACTTGAAGTGCTTACATCAGTTAATGAGAATCTCTAAAGCTATAACAAGGACTGAAAATACAAATAGTAAATATAGTATATTTATATATTTATAAAGTTGATACAATTCTCTTCCAGTCCCATGTCCAGTTTAAAAAATATTTTCTTCACGTTGTCGACAACGTCCGACATGAAGGATCTTTGTGTCAATGCGCAAAGCCCTTATGATGCTCTAAGAGAGAAACGTCTTTGCCAGGGTGGATTTTAGTTACCCAAAATCTGGATGACACAGAAAGCTTGTGCTAAAAAGCAGGAAGAGTTTTTAATGTAGGAGGTTGTTTTGACAAGAAGACCAAACAGTTTTACCGAGGAGACTTGCTGATATTGTAGATTTCTGTAGATGTTCGTAGTTGTGTGTCAGGAATCTGTCCACTCTTAAACAGTTACCTCGTTCTTACTGGCAGTGCGGTATGTGTGGTGGTGGCCAGGAATGTACTGTAGGTGGTCCACCGTGTGTGTTCGTCGGGAAGCAAATGCCTGCCGCTTTGACGTGGTCACTTGGTGGTTGACCGTCAGCGTGTTGTAGGAGTCGTTAGAGGCACTGGGTTGCGAGTGCATCTTGGTCATCTTGTGGCGGTCCATGACAGGCGTGGTGGGCATCAGCATGTCGGCGTGAGACAGCGCTCGCGCCATGGCCTTCTCCCGGAACTTGTCGCGCCTCATCGCTGGGGACAGCAAGGGATCCTGGGAGTGCAGGCGGTCCGCTGAAAGTAGTTGCTCTTCTGAGAGGTGGCGACTGCTTCCATATGCTGCAGCTGCCATTACGCCGTACGAAGATAAGCCGTAGTCTCCACGTCGTGGCGTCCTGGGAGGAGACAGGACGTGGTCCTGGGACATGGCCCTCTGGACCCGACGGGGACGCTGCCGCTGCTGGTGGTGCTGCTGAGGTTCTGCATTTAGCTTCACCATGTGGGTTGGTCCCCGACCGCCAAAGTCAGGATGATGATGCTTCCTCGTGTAGTAGTCATCTATATCTTTATCACCTGGGGAGTTAGACAACAAAGGTATTCAGAGAGAGGTAGCACTATCAAGACTCATTGGCTTTGCTCTGAATGAATTCACTCCTGGATAACTGGGCTCTATTAGTCATATCTATCTTAGAAACTCTGTGCATTGCATTCTAAATAGGAATTCTTACATTTCCTAGAATAGCTCCACAATAGTTGGAGAAGCTGCATGTGGCATGAAAATCTTCTTTCCTGTTAGCTTTGACACTTACCCCAGTCAAACAAAATATAATTAATGCAACTCATGCGTGATCATGCAAGAGACTGGTCATGTCAAGTTTCGGTCAGACATGGAAGCATTGCTTCTCCAGTGGCTTTACATATTTCTAAAAGCCTTCAGAAAATCTCTCTAGCCAACCTTGTAACTTGATTCTCAGTTGGTAGTAGGCTCTAAACTGAGCACAATCACTACTTTCCTCGTTTTATGTGTTTTCATAGATCTAGAAGTTGCATGTGGCATTAAAACCTTTATTTCCCTGTTAAGTTTGCAACTTTTGCTTAATCAAATTAAGCATAGTTTTTGAAACTCATGCCAGAGCATACAAAAGGTTAAGGAAAAAGCTTTGAAATTAAGCATTTCTTCCCCAGTGGCTACATGTATTCCTCTGCCTCCAGAAAAAATCTCTGGCCAACCTTGTAACTTGACGCCCAACTGATAGCAGTAATCACTAGTTTCCCTTTGTTTTATGTGTTTTCATAGTGAGAGAGCACCTGCAGGCTGGACTAACACTGGCATTTAGCAGGCTCAACACAGCAGAGCTGAATGTATGCATCTGTGGATAAGTTTATTAGTCATGTCTCTTTCAGAAACTCGGTGCATTCTAAGACATTACTCCCACATTTCCTAGAATATCCCACAATAGTTTGGTTCATTTCAACATTTCAACATTGTTCTTTAAAGCAAATATAGTTTTTGCAACTCATGCAGGAGCCCAGTACTGTCAGGTGCTGGTCAGATTTTTTGAGGAAAAGACTACGAAACTAAACATTTCTTCTTCAGTGGCTTCATGTATTCCTGAAAGACTCCACAAAAACTCACCGGCCAACCTTGTATCTTGACACTCAGCTGGAACGAGACACCTTACTGAGTATAATCAATACTTCTCCTGTGTCGTAACTGTGTTTGTGTAGAACCTCATTACTGGAGAAGCCTAGTGTTTGGGAGGCTCAACACAGATGAGCCGTTGTACAGTGTATCTCTAGTGACATGAATAAATCAAACGGTCAAACATTCTGATCGGCTACAGTGTCAGGTTCAACTGTTCGCCTACAAGAACAGGAAAAAATGGACACCTATCCTCCCTCTGATAACACTGGCAGTAAGAAGTGATAATTGTAATCACCACAGCAGCTGAGAGTCTTGCTCAGACTGTTTTGAATTGTTTTGTCCTTTTGTTTCATGAAAAACAGGAAGCTCTCAGCAGTGCCCTTCAGCATGGAGAGGACTCATCAGCATGCCTCAGTTCTCAACAGTTCATGTGCTGATAGTGCCTGAATGATCAACCAGTCCTCTGCCACAAAGCAGGTCGCCACAGCGCCGTGAACACAAACTCCTAATGATAAAGTCAGTGCAGCAGTACGAACCACGGGCGGCTCTCAGCAGACCTCTACCTGTGTTTTGGCTGTGCTGGCACACAAGGGAAGGTTACCTAGGAAGCTCTCTGATTAACTATTGCAGCCGAGGGGTCGTTACCTCTGCAGTGGTTAATTATTGCAGAACATGGAGGTCGAATTGCCGCTTTAGGACTATACCACGCTTCACCGAGTTGTGGAGAAAAGGGATGATGGGAATTGTTTGTCTGGATACTTGTCTCTCTGGGAGAGATGTCATGCCTGGATGCAGAAGGTCACCTTATTGTCCCTCCGTAAGGGGTTTTCATGTCCACTGCTCTGTGCATTCTTAATGAAGGAGGCCCAACTCTGGCATGTGGCTTTGCGCTCCAGCATTTTTTCCCTGAAGGGTTGGTTTAGATGTGACATTATGGCAGAAAATGTCAACCAAACTCAACCAGAGGCAACAAGGATACAGACAATCAACAAGCCGTGGCCCATAGCTCCATTAATAGGCCAAACAGAAGTACCCAGTCACTGTGACAGATCTGGAGTGATTATACACTCAAATGGTAATTGGTTGCAATGTATTATGTCCTGCCATTATAGGAAAAAACACATGCCATATAATACCTATAATTCTCAAATACACACACACATGCGTGATTCAATTTAAAAAGCAATAAAAGGGAAAAACTTCTAAAGGCATGAAAACTGAACACTATATTTTTCTATATATAAGCACATACATACATGTATGTGTGTGTGTGTCATGTCGACACAGATTGGTTGGAGTAAGTGCTGAGGAAAAAACAATATTCTGAATTTATCATGACAGCATCAAACATGGAGCAGTGTTGGATTTCCATCAGCAGTAATCAGCATCAATCAGCAAATCAAACAGGAGCAGATTAGAAAACGGGGAGGCTTCTTGCTATTATATGATAAAATATGTGTATAAATCAGAAGGCAGGAGACCCTATTCTCTCTGCCATTGTTGTAAATGAAGGCGACAAATGCCTTCCTCTTCCTCTATAACTGCCTCCGCTGCCTTATGATTTAAGTCCCGCTTTTTACGAGTGTACACATGTTACACTGTTTACACTTTAAGTGACTGAAATGATTTAAGAAGGGCGAGGAATATTGCTCCATCTCGTCTCTGCGGCACTGATAAATGCAACACTTTACTATTAGCGTGATTGCGAGAGGCTGAAGGGTCCCAAACGTGAAACGGCGCAACAAACACAAGAAATTGCTAACAACGGCTAATTAAACCCCAGCTCCCACTTTGCTAGATTACATTCAATGCAGCCAGTGTATTTATGTGTCAGCTATTGATCACGGAAGACTGTAATCATATAATGCACTAACACTCGTGAAACTGGTGGAACATCAATTATAAAGTGATCTTTAGAGGTTTGGAGCGGGACTGGTAGAATTTAAAGGAGGGAAAGAAGCAATATCATTTAGGTTTTTGTTTTTTTTTCTTTTTTGGAAGGATTAAGGGTGGTTTGTTTGTTCTGAAAGGTGTTTTAATCCCTTTTAGGGTGATTAAGGTGAAAGACAACAGAGCCAAATAAGATTTGTTTCTCCTGCTTTTTGCTGCCTCCTTGGAGGAACTAAGAGGGTTATTTCAGAGCAGCATCCTCAGTCTCTGTCTCGTTGACATCGGTGAAGGACGGCGACTCCCTCACACACAAAGACACACACGCGCACATTTCAAATTGCAAATTTTAAATTGCAAATAAACGGGACTAATTTAATTTAGTAATCATCATCTCTCCAGATGGTTTAATTAAAAAAGCAACTAATTATATTACTTTTAGGCTTGTTTCCAAAGACCTCACTCATGCTTGAACCGATATATTTATTATTATTTTCTTGAAGGTCTTTCTTCAAGGGACGACTTTGCTTGCTGGTTTGACAAATTCTGCTGGGCTCCTGCCTCAAATTCGAAAAGCTCCTTTGTAGTTCAGCGTGATTCATCTCTGTGATTTTCTGTGTGTGTACAAGACTCCAGCAAGATAAGAGCAAAGCCCTGAGTTGATAAGGGAAAGAAGAGGCAAACATATAAAAGAAGAACGTTGAATGCGCTGAAAGGAGATTGCACTGATGCATGTTTTTCTATCACATAAGCACATAGTGAAAAAGGGGACCAATGACACATTTAAATGGCTTTTTCTCTCTTTCTATCTCTCCATGTAACTTCTCTTAAGATTAAAAGGATTGAATGGTTGCAATTTGAAAATCTGTTATTTTACATTCATTTTTTTACCAATAATGCTTTGAAAGGAAAGTACAGCACATGTATTCTGCATATGCATAAAGGACTCTGCAATGTTTTCATTGATACATCATATTAAACCCTGAGTAGTTTCTTGAGGTTCAAGGGAATTTAATATTTTTTTTTCTAGAAACATTTCCTCTCAACAAATCTGTTAGATGTGATAACTCACAACATAATACACCAGCATGCATGCAGTGTGTTTCCACTGTAGTGCTTGAATTACTCGACTGACAAATAGGCAACAGAGATGCATACATTCACGTCTGTTCACTTGGGTGCATTAAAAGAAACGCACATCTGAGAGCCGAGTCTTTAAGATAAAAGCTGGTTGGAGAAAAGTGTGCCTTTCATTTAAAGTTTTCACGCTCCGACGGGAGGAATCCAAGCAAACTGTGCCTCTCTCCGTTGATCTCATCGCTCTGTAGTAATTCAAAATGTTAAGCTTGTCTGAAAGCAGCTCATTTTAAAAAAACTGACAAATGAAAAATAGATGGTCCCAAGTGAAGGATCTGGAGTCTGAGCAAAAATGGTAGATTTTTTAAAAAAAGATTTACATTTTTTTTTTGTTCTTGGTTATTTAAAGGTTGTATTTGAACCAGGTTTGCAAAATCTTGGAGAGCTCCTGCTGAGTTTGAAACAGAAGAGAGATAAATACACCCAGAATTTTGATTTTTATAGATTTTGGCATCATTTAAACAGAATGTCCAAAAGAAAGAAATGGAGTTTTCTATTCAGGGTTTCACACAATCAGCATTACCGAACATCACACCCTTTGCTTCCATTACTGCTCTTTAACCTGTCTTTTACAAAGTGCACTCAATTTATCAACTAAATCTGAACCTGAATGCACAATAACTATATACTATCCTTCCCTTACTTTTTTAAAAAAAGAAACCTTAAATAGGACACAGGTACAACAGCTTATTTCACTTTTAAACGTTCTGCACTGTAAAGCTTGATTTATACTCCTGTGTTTAGTCTAAGCCGTAGCCGATACCAGTGACCTACACCTGAAGTGTTGCTGCAGTTTTACTGCCAAAATGCTAGTTAGCACTGGGGTTTCTGTGCCACTGTCGTAAATGTTGGAGTTCACACTAATAATGTTGAACAACAGTTGATCTTTACCAAAATGACTGCAAACCCGAAAAAACAGAAGACATCAGAACCAACTGAGTCTATATGCTGATTGGTAAAAAACAAGAAAACAGCATGTAGCTACTTCTGCAGGCTACTAGGTTTTCTCTTTTCATTGTGAGCAAGTAAGATGGCCTATCATATATGACATTTTGTTTGGCTGGAATGTTGTTTGCATGTAAACAAGACGTGTTACCACCAACCAGACCAGTCACAGTGATTGTGATCTGCTTTTCTGCAATGTGTAGTCACGGTTTATTGGAGGCGCATGTCATGTGACCATGCAAGTTACCATGCATGTAACATGCATGCATGCTACTGGTTACAAAGTCTTGCACAAAAATGTATGCTGCTGTTACATACCAGTGTTTTTGCAATTTATAATTAGCGCACCATTTTCATGCTAAAATCACGTATATCATCCATTTTGCTGTCACACCACAAATTTCAGTCCAGTTGATTGGTCCACACTAAACTACGACCAACAGTGTTCCAGCTCACAAAAACAAGTCAAATTAAAAGGCAACCAGCACAAAAAGGTCGGATAAGAAAGCACATTTCCCTTCTATTCTGAATGTTGGATAACAAATTCCTAACTGTGTGTTTATAATAAAATTAGGATGAAATTTGAAACCGGAAATCTGTCTACCTCCATAAGGTGCTTGATTTTTTTTTTTCTAATTTCAAACAGCCATCAGACCAAATAATTTATATGGATAACCTTTTGTGTCTCCAGAGTGTGCTCAGAAATTGGCAACGCTGCAGTCTTAATGGAATAATTTACAAGATAAACCTAAATTGGAAACGCTGCCTTCACATCAGTCATTCAAACGCCACACCTAAAACTTGCTTGATCAAGCTTTCATTTTCATCCCCCATGTCCTATTACACTGTGCTATATGTAAGCACTGTAAATTAATTGACTGTGATTGATGCTGTTCTGCACCACCCAGGTTTTTTCCTATAAAATATAATGTAGCTCAAGAGACTGTAATAAAAAAATTAAATCAATTATAGTACACCTGAATAATCCTGGGAAACATGCAACCAATCTAGAGAACACTACGCATGCACCGGTCAGGAGGTTCAAACAGCAGCATCCACTTCATCATCAAACTGAAAATGCCACGGCGAGGATAATGAACTGTAGTTTTGCTGAGACATTAAAGCACCATCGTGTCGGCGTATTGAAGCCATTCAGCTGGGGGAAAAAAGAAAAAAAAAACTGCTCTAAATATGTCATTAAGAGACATTAGCAACATGACATGGGCCGCAGATGGAGCCAAATTACACGCCAATTAGATGTCAGTCGATGAGCCGATAGATGAGTCGGGATTGAGTATGGAGGCTCCAAGCACGTCGTCATGCATTTTAAGAAGTTTATTCCCCTAAAAAGGTGAAAAAGTGAGAGGACTATGTGCATGATGAGCCACCAAAACATCTGGAGATACTTATCATGATGCGTGTCTCTGTAATGGACATGGAGATGTTTCATCAGGCCAGACGCAGTGAATGTGGCGACCCTTTAATGCACGGGGCATGAGGGTGACGTCATTCCTTTTTTTTTTTTTTTTTTTCTCAGTGCATCAGGCAAAACACGGCGATGGAGGACGAATGAAGGACCACCTACTTAATCTGTGCAGAGAGTATTTACTTAAGTCAGACTTGAGGGCCAGCTCGTAGGAGGGCGGCAGATGGCTCAGGTTCTGGAAGGATCTGGAAAGGGACAGGTCGTAGGGCTCCGTGGCCGAGGTCAGGATGTTGTTCATCCGCTGTGGTCTCTCTACAGGGGACAGGGGGAAGGAAGTGGTGCACTGCAGTCAGCACACAGTCAGTCAAAAAGATGGGTTATACACTGGGAGTCTTTATTGGAGGAGAGAAGGAAGCAGGGAGGGAAGGTGATGCAGTGGGGAAATGTGCTTTGAGAAAGACTACAGAGCATTCGGGTGGTGTTGGACACCCTCTGCTGGGCTCGCTTCCACTTTTGGAGAACAACGGACGGTTTTTCTTGGCGTATTCCCTCAAAAATGAACAGCATGTCAGAGAATTAGCTACAAGGCTGCAGGCAGGGAGCCACGTGAAGTAAATAAAGATGCACTCAGAGTAAACATAAAGCTCATCTTTTACTCATTATCTTCAACGAGACAAGTTTTCTTCCAGTCCAGCTGTATTTGCGACAAACAGCGAGTGCATCTGCTGAACAGGTGTTCGCTGTAGTTAGCTTGCAACACTCAGCGTACTGGGAGCTACTTTACCTAGCCTGATGTAAACCCTATAGAGTAACAGAAAAGCCCCGCTGTTTGTGTTAATTTACTCCAGATGCTCCTTTTTCTTCCATCCGTATGTTTTTTAAATTGAGTCATACAGTTTTTAAATATTATTTTCTTGTGCATATGTTTGTCCTAAATTGGCCTCCATTTACAGTTTTTTGTTGATCCTGTGTGCAAGTTGCAACATCACTGCTTTGTGTAAATCGCTGTAATAAACCAAAGAAGAAGCCAAAAACAAAACTTGATGTTTGCCAACCGATGAAAAAGCTTGAAAAAGTCAAAGAAAGTAAGAAAACTTTGGCCATCTACAAGACAGAAACAGAGAGAAGTCTTTAGAAATTTGTTTTCAATTGGGAAACTTGATACTGGTCATGTTCCGTGCCGTCTGGAGACAAAGACAATGATAGAAGTGGAAACAGCTAATTGGTTGCTACTTAAGAATTTATTCGAGAAAGTGGTTTCTACCTCCCATCATAAGCAACTGAAAAACCACCTCAAGCTACCATAGAAACATTTTTGCTAAATTTTCAGATTTCGCTGTTTCCGTCAATTTTTTTCAATATATTTTACAATGCGCTTTAATATACAGAATGGAAACAGAGTTTGTCTGAACACTAATTAAGGCACAAAAGTTGCATCAACAACCACCATCTGGGATAATGTGTTACCAAGCAAGACTTGTGATCCAGTCTGGTGTTTTTTCTTTACATTCCTGTTTAAACATTGGACTGAAACATACAAAGAAATCTATAAAAAGACGACACATGCTTTGATGAACTGACCAAGAAATTTCTGACATCATCTTGAAAATTCGGAAGCGATTATAGACGGCATTTTAGAAACTACACAATGTTCTCTCCAGCAGTAAGGCCAAACTAAACTCCTTGATTTCTGAAGGGCACTTTCTGGCTACTTCCCACCTGGGCATCTCAAGGTTATTGTTTACTGGTTGTTGACGAGTCGCAGCGTCGATGAAATGGACTCATCTGTCTTTGCCATTGTGAGTCAGCTGGAAACCGCATCTGTCAACTGCATCTAAGCAGCTCGAATGACAGTTCACCGTGGAACGCCTTCGACAGCTCGTTTTGGGAAATCAGTGATATGTATGACACCATTAAGGCTCCCTGCACTGTGCGGAGCTCCTGTGGCTTCAGTATTTGGGACGCCCAGTCATGGGTCAGGAGGCGCAGTGGGTGGGAAGGACTTGGATACGGGCAGGGACTCTGGTGCTGGATTTAAAAATAGGACTTGGGCGACTACTGCAGCAAGGAGGACAGGGACACAACACCAAGGAACATATGGTGTAGAGGGGAGACATTCACCGAGTCTAAAAGTGTGTGTTTGTGTGTGTGTGTGGGGGGAGGAGAGAGTCAGTTAGGTGGAGTGAAGGAGGAAAAATAATGCGTGAAGAAAAGATACTGCGATTGGACTAAAGGTCATGGATTGTAATGTAGCGGCGTGAAATTTTGTGACTGCAAAAAATACACAAGCGCTTAAACAAAAAAAAAAAAAAGGAAGGAAAAGGAGAATATAAATGACCCCCAGTGTGCAAGGAAGGAATCTTGATCTCTATTGTACATGATACATGTCGAAGAAAAGGGAATGGAAAAAAAAATACACATAAACACCATGTGTATGTGTATTACTTACCGTATCTCATTTGTCTGTGGGCTAACAAATCCAAGTGAGAAAGAAAGGATCAATGACAATCAATGTGCACATTATGTTTCAACCAAACCTTCCGAACTAGACGTTGCCCTTGGTCAAAGCCACTATTGCAAGAACGTTGCCAAAGGGTTAACATAAAACCAGCAACTTCTGAATTATGCATCGCAGCTACGATCCTCGTCAGACGCTAAATAGACTTCAAAAGTGCTGTTTGAAGAGTTTTATTTGGTTCTAAAAGTACTTTTGAAACCCATTTTTCCAGTGAAAAGCCGTCCTGTTTAAGAGGCAGACGAGCACAGGCAGGATGTGGACGGCAGTGCTCCATTAATGGAAAAAAAAGCTTGTATAATGACTCAATGACGATCTCTTAGCTTTAGCCTAAAACACTGACACAAAACATTGGCCTCGGCAGTTTTAAAACATCGCAGAGGGGATTTTTTGAAACAAAAAAAGTCCCGATTCCCTCTTTAATTATACGGTGTTTCATTTCACCGTCATTTAGATGCAGGACCATTTAGTAATTCGACGCTGAAAGCTGCTCCTCTTTCACAGAAAATCACATTTAGAAAAATAGATGGGATGCCATAACAGTAATTGGGTTTTCAATAACTTGAGCAAACTGCACAGATGATCCTTTGATTATCATGCACTTTTTGCTTTTCATTTTCTTAGAGGAATTCTCTATCAGCTTCTCACATTTTAATTTCCCCGTGAAAGATTTTGTCTTTGCAATCTGAAACAATCACAAGAACTGTTTGTCTTTTCTTTCACTCACAGACTGGCAATAATGCATATTATTATTGGAAAGCCAAGTCAGGTCAGTCGTCACACTCAAAACTTGCCTTTTCATTCTCATTCTGGGTTTACACAGTGAGTTTTACATCTCATGCAATGCCATGTCGGCAGTTAAGGACTACATTATGGTGTTTTCTTACCCAGTTTAGGCGTGAGCGCAGTCAGATCCAGGTGGCTATGCTGGTAGTCAAGGTGGTGGTTTCCTATTATAAGAAAAACAAAGAGAATTTCAATATGATGAATTCAAGCAACAGGGGGGAAAAAATCAGATATAACAGCAGCTGATGTCCTTTTGCATTTTGCATGTTGTTCACTCATATCATAAATAAATTGTTACTCCCAGTGGTATGTTGTCTCAAATCGTTTCTATTCTATGATAGTAACTTGGTGATTCATTGTGTTATGCTGTACTTTACCATCTAACTAGTAGCCACACTAATGACACGCTTCTAAGAGAGTAATGCTAGTTTAACTACTGTGGTTCAGGTATGTGATGGTACCAACCCGTCCCTCAAAGCTTCAACACCCTTGATACAGAACTTTAAGCCTTGATACAATTTAAACCAGCGAGTTGTTTAGAAAGTCACCTCATGTACATTTGTCATAAATGGGGAAATAAGGTATTGAGACCAAAACCGTTTAATGCACCAGGCTGGAAACATGTTTATTTTGGCTGTAATGTTGGCCATTTTAACATGGAGGTCCATGAGTATCAACTTGCATTTAAAGCGTTCCTCTAGTGGCCATTCAAGAAACTGCAGTGTTTCCATACTGGCTACATTTTTCAGTCCCAGATGTTGCTGCTTGAGTCCAGACTGAAACATCTCTCAACTATTGGTAATTTTGAAAAGATGTTCAGGGTCCCCAGTGGATAAATCCTAAGTATTTTTGGTTGGCATGACATTTGATATAGACATTCATGTCCTCCTCAAGATGAATAACATTGATAGTAACATTGTTGATTGCCTTTTTGTTTACTGCAATGTAAAGTCTTGCACCTGTAAAGAAAATACACAACCATGGCTAGATGTAGCAGAACTCAGAAATGTTTTTTTTGTTTAGTATAAAACGATTAGAATTCAACAAATCGTGATTATATCCTTCTGACAACAATGTAAATAAAAAACCTGAGTCGGTATGTATACCTCCCCGTGCTCACAGGTGGTACCAATACCGGTTAAAAATGTCGACTCTGCATATTACAGATATTTTATTATTTACACAAATAATTTGTTTCCAGACTTGTCTCCTGTCTGCTCAGTGTAAACACAGCCTGCAGTTCATCCCAATTCAACCAAAAAGTCTCTGAATTTTTGGCATGTGACTTTTGGTCACAGTTGTATCACTAATGGCTTTATGGTTGCCCTGAGAAACAGAGAATTTTTTATTTTTTCCCCCCACAGAATCTAGTTAGAGCCAACAGTCAATTGTTATCATGCTGCAACATGCTGAACTGAGATGCTGAACTTGTTAAACACTCTACATGTGCCGAGCATCAGCATGTTAACATTTAATTTTGACCACCCTTTTTCAAACTCCTCTTGCTCCTCTTCTTTATAAATACACCGGCTGTTCGGTTATCGGTGTGTTTTGGAAGGAGGTGAAACGGGATGTGATTGGGTTCCCACAGATTAATGAGTCAATCACCCAAAAGAAGCTGCTTGCAGTTAGTGCTGCTGTAGATCTGCAGATATTGTGCTGTATAGATAACCTTGTCTCGCCTTGACAGTCCTCACACTTTGTGCATTATCTAGATAGTATGTCACCGTGGGGAAGTGGGGGAAAGCTGACCCTTAAATAATGTCCCTTTATGAGTTCTGCCCAACAGGCTCTGCTATAATACTGTCTGACAAATGCTGTCCTGTATTTCAGAGCATCAGTCGGCTTTTTCAGCCACTCAAGTCAGCGTTTGCCATTTCCCCAGATATGAGAGCTTTGATTTGTTCAGCGTCTCAAGTGAGCAGTAAACTGCCAATGCTCACTTATGAGAGGGAGTGTTTCTTCCATTTGACAGAATCCACAATCTACCTCAGCTTTACCAAAATGATTGATTGTAGCCTATTTACACGAGAACATGGAAGCAGCTCCACCTCATGGTGATCCATCTGTTTGATGTTGCGCTAATATCGTTATGTAGCAGCAACATCTTCTGAGGCCTCCATCACTGAGCAGCGATGGGAGTTCAAATAATTCCAGAGAAGGAAAATATTGCCTTTATTCAATTAGGTTTTTGTGAACAGCATACAAAGTGTGGATATGTGATTGTTGTACCTTATTTACATTTAAATATGCTCATCTATCATCCAATAGGAGTACTAAAGACAGTAAAAACCACTGCTCTGATAGCTTAAAACGATTTGTATGAGCGTTTTAAAAGGCTTTGAACTGACGACAGGGGGTTGAGTTGTGCTTTGTTAAAGATCAGTGCCTGTATGTCAATGATGCCGCTTTCCCAGCGGGTGGATGTGACATTTCTGTCAAATGTTATTTGACTTTTGCTAATATCCAGACTTAAATGTGGTGTTGCTGGGACTCCTTTTCAGTCCAGACTGAAAATGATATTTGGGAATGCAAAGACTTCTCCAGCTAAATGGTTTTATTGCGTAATTATAAAACAAGTCTTTGGTCCGTTCTCCCTGCAGCTGTATGTAGTCTGCTTTCCAATAACACAGGTTTGATCAAGGGACCAATTATAGCAGCTCCAGAAAACTCTGCTAAATTACCCTGCTATGGACTTGAAAAGAAAGCAGCTTTGCACCAAATAAATAACAGCCTTTTACTATCTGTGTAGCTGCTTTTTTTCCCCCCACAGCGGAGAGACGAACTGCAACATAAATTTCACACATTAAAATGTACCACAAGTGTTTAAACAAGGTTCAAAAGTTTATCACCCTGCGAGGATGGGTTTTCTTTGAGGTAATCTTCGGTTCAGGGCTCAGATGTGTGTGATCCAATTATCCCCTTTATGTGCCTGTATTTGAATGTTATTGGTAGTATTGTGCAGAAAATGTGGCACTTAACTGAACACACATTGTTAAAAAATAGTTTGTTCATGTGGAAGGTGAATTTGAAATAAAAAAATGGGGTCTCAGAGCTCAGTGATGTAGCCAGGCATGAGCCAGTGAGCAATCCCAACATAAAGCAATCAGAGGCAGCACATTCACAGTAAATACAGTTATTTCTAAGGCTGGAGTGTTTATTCCTTTAGTTCTGTTTGGTCAGTGGCAAACAATGTCATCTGAGCTCAAGCTGCAGCAAAATGCTTAAAATTGTATCTGTGTCCTCAAGTAAACTGAGAACTGAAGGATCTCACAACATGCTTTGAGTTTTGGGGGGATGAAAAACGAAATTATTGCCATCTGATGCACATATTTAACCATTTCTTCATTCGCTTTGAACAGCGAGGAGAAGAAAATTACACCAACAGAGAGTAAGAGAGACAACTACATCGTGTAAAGTTGAGATCACAGGTGGAAGAAGCTGATTTTTTTTCTCTTCAAAAATCTTTCACAAGAACCTCAAACTCAGCAGGATGACATGTTTCCAAACCTCTTCAGGCAATGCAATCTATTGCAACAGTAACGGTCTTTTTCCACTGTTCATCGCTTTACATTTGCACTTACCAAGAAGGTTTGATGCTAGTCTTTATAAAGTGTGTTTTACTCAATCAGGTATGGCAAAACAGATACACAAAAATGTATAAATCATTTACACGAAAGAAAGAAAACGTGCATCAGTGCTGCAGGGTTCAAGAGCCTCGGTGATGTTGGGCGATAAGGTCACAGTTCATCCCAAATGTGTTAGACGGGGTTGAGGTAAGGACTGTGTGCAGGAAAAGTCAAGTTCTTCCAGGGCAAACTGGAAAAAACTGTTTATTTGCAGACCTGGCTTTGTGCACAGGGGCACAGTCATATCGAAACAGGAAAGTTCAAAACACAAACTGTTCCGACAAAGCTGGAAGAAAACCACTGAGCCAAAGAATGCTTTGCTGAAACTATAGAGTGTTATCTGATGTAAGAAGAGCCCCAGACTAAAGGTATAATAATACAATAAAGAAGAGAATACAGATTTAAAAAACAAAAACTCTTTCAGAAGTTAAAAAGTAAAGGTAAACAAATATTTATGGACACAAACATGTATAAAATACTAAAACAGAAGTAAAATAGGAAGCCTGCAATTCATTGTGTGTTCACTCATCGCTTATTAGTTTTCCCTTCTCTTATGTATATTGTCTGATGATGATGTTTTAAGTGTTTAATTAAATTTGGTATTAATATCATACAGCTACACCTGAGTGACTTCCTATTACGTATCATTTCTATTACAACTTTATTAGGAATAATAACATTAACTGTTAATACTTCATTCTGTCTTTATTGTCTGCTTGGCTAATGCGTACAAAACCTCATGTTTTTGTTGTTTCACACTGTTGGGCACAACTATAGCCAAGGTTGGATGTTATTACATTGTATCGACGTTTTGCCGCTGCCCGGTACTCTACGTGATTTATATACTGTCTAATGCATTTTCACTTCCACAACGTCCTTTTGCTGTCTTACTGTACGATGTTTGCAGTTCTTGCCAAAAAACTGTAGATGAAAATTAGCCAGCTGGCTAACGCTGGCACATTTGCAAAAAAAAGACAGAAAAAAAGCTGATTAATGCAGGAAAATGAAATGGAACTACAGTCAGAGTTATAAATAATAACCTACTAAACTTTACGTTCCGTTCCACCTGTTTTTGAGGAGGAAAACATCAATCTTACATCTTTTTTTTTTAATGTATGCATGTAAATGATCACTGAGGAAGGTACACGCAAGTATCATAAAAAAATGAAAGCATTTTGTCAGTTTTAAATATGCAGTTTTGGTGCCATCTGTCTCGAAATATCCTCAAGAAAAACCTGATTGCAGTTGGAGGAGAAATGCTCAGCAACATGTTCAGTTTAACAAGAACAAATCTGCTGCCGAAGTCCCTAAAAACATCCTGCAGTAGCTGATGTTAAAGGTTTAAAGTGTCGCAGTCGTACAAGTGGAGCAAATGTCAGATTTTTCTCTTCTTCTGGGTATCAGTCGTATCATTCATACTGGTATTTCAACATCCTGAATCCACCTGACAGCGAGCCGCAGTATGTGAGGTAAATGGAAAAGAACATGCCTGCTAAGTGTTAATACATAATGCAGGAGCTCTCACTGACAGTAAA